AACCAATCAAACAGTAATTAACTCTTGACCATAAATTTGTTCATAAAGTGCAATTCTTATTTTCTCACCAACAAGTTTAGTAGGTAAGTATGAGCTTTTTTATTTCAAGGCAACGTGGGTTCATGTTTTTGTTTGCGAAATCACCAGATTCCAGTTCGTTGTCAAAATGTTACGAAAGAATTGAAGTTTATCTGCTTTGTAGGAGTTTCAGCAAGTGTTGGGGAAATCATCTGCTACCTTAAAGTATGTTCAGACAGGCCGCTAATGCAGCAGACCTAATTGAGTCCGATTTACGATACAAAATTTCAATTCTTAATTGCCCGATTTGTGCTAAATTGAGTGCTAATTGAAACAATTTTTTCATGCAACCCTGCTGGATATATTTAATTTTGACTCGGAGGTATGTTTATTAAATAAATAGCAATCAGCTGTTTGTTTCTTGACCTCTCTTACAGCAGCTGATATTCAATCAGGGATGGAAAATTAAATTTTCAAATTGTATCTAATTTGCGGAAAAACTTTACCTGAAAGTAGCTAAATATACTTATAAAGTAAATATATAATTTATATGTATGTATATATTAAAGAAAATAGGATAATAACATTTCCTTTTGATACTATATCAAATCTTGCAAAGATACTCGTCAAATGAGGTACCAGACTCTAGCCACTTGGTTAGTAACAATTTGGTCCGGAGTTTGTATCAAACACTCAAAGGCAGGGTTAGAGACTATCCGAGAGCTGTCTGGCTTCGAGATATTATCCAGGATTACATCCTGCCTGGTTAAGTAGATGATGACTTCTGGCGCGCCACAATAAGTTCCCAATTCTGGACGTCTGGAAATCTGTTTCAATTGTAAAATACTCGTAAATCCTTGCGAAATTGTATTTATTCTTAGTGGTCATGGAGTCTAATGTTAGATGGAAAATTGCTTTCAATGTCAAGCAGTTATTCAAAGGAAAATTTATTTTGATTTAACTTCCAAGACAGATTTTTCTGATCAGCGCGGAAATCGAATCTTAAAATATTTCCAAGGGCCCATGGCAGTTATATCCCTAGAAGTCGTAACGTTTACCCTGCGTACCGTTTTCATAGAGCCTAAACTAACCGAACTTCTTCATTTCATAACAATGACGCTCAGTCTGGCTGAGTTTAAGATGCTCCAGGAACCTTAAAAGAATCAGTTGTCAGCGCTGATGGCGCTTGATAAGAGGAAAGTACCAAGCAACAATGAACAAGCGTTGCGCTGTGCATAAGAATCAGGCATACATTTGACAGGTCAGATTGGGATTGTTCAAAGTTCGTGGAAGACGAAAAAACGTATTGTACTCTATGATGCACCCATTCTTACCTTCTAGGGTATATATGTACATACATATTTAAGATTTGTACTGCGACCCTTAGATATAAGTTTTAATAAATAGGTTATTCTTGACCGGAATTTTTTCTCATCCGAGCTTTCCCTTGGAGTCAATTATCCGTTTTCGAATAAATTACTTACAATGCTATGTTATGTGCCGGAAATACATAATATTTCACCATCAAAGTGCAATGCTGCTGAGTGCTGATTATTTGTGTCAATGCCAGGTCAACAGCAATTACCAGTAGCCAACAGAATACAGCCACAGGGTAGCAGGCTTCAGGAGCCTAACAACTGTCACTTGCCGCACAACATTTGCCTTTCAGCTGATAAATTTATGAGTTTTGCCGAAAATACATTTAACTCCTGCTGTGCGCACTAAGCAAATCGACAGTAGCCTCGAGTAAAAGGGCAGCTCTGAGGTGACTATGCTTGCCAATCACCGACAGCCAACTGTGAACAGGTATTGAAAGCGGAATCATGACTTAGCTAAATTTACGAATTCGACTGAATGATGATGAATTTTCAAATTCACACATTAATGAGCCGACACAGAGGTACAAATTTCGTAATAAAAAATACTACTTACATAACAGTTGCCACATAGGTACATACACATATATGTATGTACATGAGTATATGTATTTACTTAAGCCATTTTTAATGGCATAGACGTAGGGACTCATTTAGTGTTTGCCTCGCATGTGAGCTTACAAAGTACATACTAACAAAAATACATACTTCATTTTCATAAACCACAATCAAACGCCATTGAAACCATTGATTATATTTAAGCTCAAACATGATTGCATGCATACCGAATCAGTGGTCCACAAAACACATTTTGTGACCATAATTCAAAGATTATTGTTTTTTTTTTCGTTTTTGGTGGGTCACTTTGCCAGCAGGCAGCACTCCGAAGTGGCAGCGGGCTGGGGGACCGCATGGGGTGTACGCAATAAATTGCAGTTTAATCATATTTTCGGCAGGCAATTCGCCGACATGAGCTTTAAATACGATGCGAGTACATAGTAAGTCAACAAGCTGGCTACAAGCTACCCAATAAGCATTTGGGGTAGACTAAAAGTTGAATTTACATAAATACGCCTTATGCTAAGTATAAACCCCAATATGGTAATATTGGACGCAAACCAACCGACTTGAGAATTCCCCTATTGTATAAGTTTGAGCAGAGGTGAGTTGAGGCAATTTGGAGTAAAGTGAGTTTACGTAAGGTGAGTTGATATGAGGTGAGATGAGTTGAAGTGGGGGGAAGGTTAGTTGAGGTGATATGAAAAGAGTTGTTATGTATAGTTTAATGTTTATATTTCTCTTTGTCTCTTTATTATCTCTATCCATCTCTCTATCTTTTTTGAACTCTTGGATCTCCTTGGCGTCATTTGGGATAGTAATTGGTTCAGTAGAATAATGATTTGAAGCTACTAATTCGATTATAGTTAGGTGGCACTCACTTATAGAGGACACTACTCACAATGGACAATTCTGTATCCGAGTAAAAGTATATAATATTCCACATACGCCCTCCTAACCTAACCTTGTCCCTATACTAAATATTAAATTAACCTTCTTCTTTATCCCTTATGTATAGTTATTCTGAAAAACGATAAAAAAAACCATTTGCCTTTCGGAGGTGGCATAAAACTGGAGTTGTGTAATAATATAAGATCGCAAGCCACAAATTGGAAGAGAAGCTTGGCCAGAAATATTGACAATAGGTAATTCCATGTTTTTGGGTAGTAATCTTGACTACAAACTGATAAATCATAAATTTTCGTAAGCATACGCATAATAAAACTCAAGTATTGAGAAATATGCAAATATTGTAATTTTTCTAGTCGATCGATTCTTCCGTTCGGGTATGAAAATTATTTAAGTTTTGGATGGCCCTACGCCGAAAGTGGTAAATTTAAAAACGGATGTCGATAATTCGCTTAAAACTATATCACAGATTTTAAGGTTTGTTGGGCAACACAACACAACATTGATTGTGTGAGTGTGCGAATGACCGCACTCTCCAATCAGCCAAGCTACCATGCTCAACCCGCCGGCCAGGTAGGCAGTAAATTTGTACAAATTTGATTTTGGCATTTTCATTTATTTCAAATTCGAATTCTGTGAGCTCATTTGGTGATTAACTAAGCACATGTTTCTACTTGTGAGCCAATGCTACTACCTAAATCCCGATTAATTTGCATGTAACTAGTTGGCTATGTGCTGGTTTTTGCGGTTCGCCAATTTATTTGTTTGAATATTTATTTATTGATTCCATGTTTTTGACTGTCGTCTATTATTTGGTTTTATTTTTATTTTTTTTCAAATTATTTTAACACTTTACGCTCCCACAATTTGTGATGCATAATTTGTTTGCCTTTTCTCATTTTTTTTCGTTATTTTAATTAAAAGTTACGTAAATAATTGACTACATTGTTTCCGCAGAAATTATGATGTACGCTGTTTTTTTCTTTTTTTTTGAAGTTTACCGCTATATAAAATGAAAGCAGTCAATAAAATCTAATAAAACCAAGGCATACTGAATACGTAGTATGACTAGATCAGCCGATTTTTTAACTTTTTTGGACTCTAAAGTGTCGAATACTGTTAATTAAGTTTTCACAAAAATTGTTCATTGCCAAAATATATTTTCAAGCGAAAGGTTTTTTTCTCAAACAACGAAGCGATTGAAAACCTTCTTATGGAACGTTCGCTTAACTTAGGGGCACAAATGTTCATTTTTGTGTCTTCCAAAGGATGCATTGATGCTCCTGGAAGCAAAAAAATTACATAAAAGAAAGTTGCTAAAAGTATGTATTTTCTAATTGATTTTATCTTTATTTTTTATAACTCACATGGCATACTATTTTAAAAAAATAACACAGAATACTTTCTTTGACACTTTACAGAACAGAAGCAACTGGGTCATTCCAGGTAAAAGAGGAAAACGACATAAATTTAAATATGCGCTAATTATCTCTATTTTAGTAGTTACCCCTTTTTAAATGACTACATTTCATTAATCTGTTGGAAAACATAAAAAAAAAAAAAGAATTTGTATTTTTTTCGATGGAAATTTTTATATCATGCATAAATACTTTACAGCAGTCACAAGTAGATGTCCCGCCAGTCTCAACTTTAAATATTTTTTAATATTTCTATGAAGATTATATAAACCTCTTTTATTGTTAAAGCAATTTAATACATTAATTATCGTGCATTGTTAAAAATCTATTTCGCTGTTTTATATGTTTCGACGACATAGTTATAATTCACCAGTCACAGTGGCATGACCCAACTACAAAAATCATTTAAATTTGGTTTTTGCTCTAATATGCCTTAAATGAAACTAAAATTAACAAAAAAATTTTTAGATGAACTCTCTTTTTTCAGCAAGGATTTCTCCAGTAAAAATATTTTATTTGTCAATGTTATTGTGGCTTGTTAACATTTTATTTTTAATATTTTTATATTGAGCTTTGTACCACGATTGTTTATTAGGAAAAATTCAAAAAAGCAACAAATTCTAAGCGGTAGAAATTATAGCACTATTTCGGAGATCACCACATCTCCTCATCAGACTTCTTTTTTCTAGACTTATTTTATGTAATCAAACTGCTTACTTACCTTTATTTCATGTATAAAATCTGTTTCGTCCAGCAGATTTATCCGCACGGACATAATACGCGATGGTCGACAGAGGCAATTCATTTTGCTGCTGCCGGCTGTATGTTGACTGTACTGATTTTACTTCATATGTATGTATGTATGTATGTATGTATGTATGTGCGTACATGCATACAGAAAAACCGTGGGGTATTGGTGTTACATTAGCGCTAAAAATCACTTTTATTTCTGCTTTTATCTTTTTAAAACACTCACTAAACTTTTCAAAACCTAATTTCTTTCAATTTAGTTACACACTTTTTAAAATTTATGACACTCAGAGAACACTATTTTATTGATTTAGTGATATTTGCACATCCTTCAATATATACATAAATATGTATCACTAATTTATATCAATTCGTTGAATTTTTTATTTCAGTTCGATTTAATTGCACCCCATGGTTTATCAGCAGCTTTGAATGCCTCCTTTAGCTGCATCTGTAAGCTGAAGAAATAAATGATATTAATATAATAATTAATTAACAAAAATTTATTAACTTAAAAATAATTTTTTATATTGTTTATGAATGTAATGTAGCTCGAAATATGAGAAACTAAAATGCAAATATCTGTGTTGTACCATTCTTTAAAAGAGAAAGAAACACTTCTCTAAAGAGGATAAATATCCGGACGTTGCTAAATAAATATATATGTTATATAAGGTCTAGTACTGTAATGAGCTAAAAAAAAAACAGAAAATAAGGGAAATGTCGACATTCAACTACTAACATAAATGGTACCCAGAATCTCTCACTAAGCTGAGTGGAATTTGTACAATACAATAAAGTGCTGATCTCGTTTGTTGCTAGACAAATATTTTCTCAATTGCGATTGCTTGAAGTTAGGCGAAACAACATCAAAAACATGACTTGACCAATCCCATGAAAAAGGTGAAAATAAAAACAACAATTGAAATAAATTCAGTTGTTGCTACAAGCGTGAGGAAATTAAAGCAGCATTAAGTAAGTAAGTCTGTATTTGCATATGTTTTGGATGGCATTGGCAGTTAGTATCGTGAAAATGCTACAAGAATTTTCTCACCCAACCCAGAAAAGAACCATTTATAAAATATATATTACACTGGGAAACAGTGGTTTTGGTGCCAAGAAGCTATATTACTTTTTAACTTCGAATGCATTTGAACACATTAAGACAACTTCTACGCGATGAAGAAATGAAGTGAAAATCGATTTATTTATAGAAACTGGACTGTAAACTGCTGTGGAGCTGCAATGTGGAGGGCTTCTTAATTGAAAAAAAACGCGATTTTTTTAGATGTTGACGCCATTTTGCTCAAAATATGGAAACTTTGTTCTTACGGATTCGTAATAAGCGCAAAAAAGTCTACCAAAAATTGCTTTAAACATTGCACTGAAGGAAACTTTAGAACCGTGAAAATGGACTAATTGACTCAAAATTAACAAAAATATACTTAAAGCTTTATCAAAAGTTAACTACATAATGTTTTCAGGTCAAAAAAGGAAAAAAAGTTAAACACTCTACTTTTGAAGGTCATTTTAAAGGTCAAAGTAGTTTTTTTGTTCAACGAGATTACTTTTCCTGAACTCTCCATTTCAAATTCTTTAAACTACCGTAAATTTCCACACTGTGTAGCGCCCTGGTGTGATAGACAGCGGCAGAAAGGAGCACTCATCTCAAGCCAATGGATGGTATTCAGCGTCTCTCTATTGTGTACTACTGGCCCTGTGAAAACAACTCCTACGGCTGCACTACAAAAAAGAAAAAATCTCAATATATCACCTTTCGACCTTGTGGTAAAGAGCCTTGAGGCTAAGTCCGCGGGGAGACTGATTTCAACAGGGCAGTTCAAACAAAGAAACACTGGCCATAGCTCAATAGCCAAAAGGCATGTAGGCACAACAGACTAAATAGTACCTTGCTATAATTGGGATAGCGGGTTTCGGGTTACTATCGAAGAAAACGGATGGCGTAGAGGCATGAAGCCTAGCCGGAAGACATTTAAGTTCTTCACAGACGGTTCAAAAATTAATGATGGAATAGGAGCGGAAGTGTACTGCTCAGAACTTAATGTTCGTCATCAGCCCATTAAGCTGCCGGATCACTGCAGTACATTCCAGGCAGAGGTTTTTGCAGGGGGG